GTATTTTGACGCCAATTATATTCTCCGGAATATTGACGTCTACTTTGAATCCACTGATTTTGCCCACTCTTATGCCCACCAACTCTATCATACCATCCCTTCGCTCAGTCATCTCAAACTGAATCTCTAGTTTTCGGATCTGTTTGATCACACATTTGATCACAAAAATCAATTATATGTCTGATTTGATAATATAAATAAACCTATGAATTAATCTTTAAATACAGTATATTTAAGCAAGATACAGTATAGCAAGATGCTATCACCATGCTAATATCATGTACTGTATTATATTTAATTAAGATTCTACAAAAAGTATTATTCATATTATGCCTCATGTAATAAAAATCATATTAAATAATACTCAACACTAATGACTGCATTCTCGGAGAAATTATTGCCAAATAAGTTATATATTTTCCAGTCGTATATTCCCATCAAATCCTCTAATAAGACAACAATTATATATTTGACGGTCTGGTCGTCCGTCTCTTCACACACGGGTTGACCAATAATTTTAAAGTCTTTATTAATCGTAAGCTTTCCGTTATCTAACACTACTTTGAATCCATTTCCCCGTTGTATTGGCCGNAACAATTATATATTTGACGGTCTGGTCGTCCGTCTCTTCACACACGGGTTGACCAATAATTTTAAAGTCTTTATTAATCGTAAGCTTTCCGTTATCTAACACTACTTTGAATCCATTTCCCCGTTGTATTGGCCGTAGTCTTAGTAATGTTGGCACAAATTTGCCCAAAATATTCGTAACCTTTGCAAAAGAAACTNCGGGTTGACCAATAATTTTAAAGTCTTTATTAATCGTAAGCTTTCCGTTATCTAACACTACTTTGAATCCATTTCCCCGTTGTATTGGCCGTAGTCTTAGTAATGTTGGCACAAATTTGCCCAAAATATTCGTAACCTTTGCAAAAGAAACTTAAGTTTATTTTTGATAACATTTAAAATGGTTTGTATTGACCTTTGATTTGATATCCTGGTCATTGAGCGCACATTTTCTGTTATATTTCATATAATTAGTTAATTCAGTGTTTGTCTCAATTGGTGTCGAATTGAATTCAAAAAAATTTTCTTCAGACATGACATCCGATACTAAAGACAAAGTTGTAGTCATTTCTATGGGTTCTTCGGCACTGGCATCACGTTTGTTGTATAAGACGTGATCCCATTTGGAGTTCTCTTAAGCAAAATATTTTGTTTAGATTTAAGGTTAAGATTTGATCACAACTAACAAGGTTTACCACTTTCATCACAGGCTTTCCGTATATTAGAAACGGTATAATTGTTAACAGAATTATTTGATTTAATTTAAATGAAAACATGTTATCCTATAAAATATATCTAAAACTAAATTTCAACTAATTTAATACTACTTTACTGTCAGTTTTTAAACATTAAAAAGTCATCTCAATTCGTAACTAATCTTAATCCAAATGACACACAATTTGGAGTAAACAAGTGTAACATTAGGTTAGACTGCAGTAATTCCGGGCAAATCTGGTGTCGCATTCACTCATATCCTTCCCATTGACTGAAAAGTCGTTGTTATAAATGTCAGACAAATTTTGAAGTTTATTTGAGTTTATTCTCACAATTAATTGCCATTTACGTAATGGTGACCAAAATTGTATTTTTAGTAAATTTACTGTTTATGCGGAAATTAATTATTCCACAGATTAGTCTCATGGAAAATAACATATATTTTCAGAAAAATTGTTGTTTTAACAAATGTTAGTGCTAAAATAAAATAAAATAAAAATACTGACACTCATCAATTCTAAGTTAGAGTATTCGTTACCTAAACATACAATTTCCAAATCTACTAGGTACTGTACAAAAGTAATTAAATACTTAAAGAATCAAAATGATTTATTTAAAATAAAATAACATTAATAGTAAGTACTATTAACATAAGATAACTACTTAATTACTAGATAATTAACAGTAATTACTAGATAATTACTATTTCCAGCCAACATACTGTAAGATCTAAAAAATTGACAAATGTAGCCTTCAATAGTTTTAATTTATAACTAGAGTAAGGCTTTACGGGTAACTTAATACTATACTAGATTAAATTGCTTATATCATAAACTGTATAAGAACAAAATTAAAAACATGCTCACAATTATAATCAAAATAATTTTTTAATAAATAAAACAAGATTTTTTAAAAACTCATCAGGCGTGATCCACAAAGTACATACGCACGCCTAGGGGGGAGGGGAGGTCATGCCAAAGCGTATGTCCTCATGTTAAACTCCTATGTACGATGGGCGTGTAGGGGGAGGGGGTCAATTTTTGGCCAATAATTTGCATACGTACTTTGTGGATGACGCCTCATGAACAATTAAGCATTTTATAAAAAATTCCCTGTATATAACATCACTGCAATTAACATCAATATATAAATACTTTATTTCAGTTCTGTAATAGATTTGAAAACAAATTTAAGGCTTAATTTTGATCTTGTCTTGAATGGCATCATAGAAGACGTCCCTCATATGCCGGACAATAGAATCCATGGATCCGTTGGCAACAGTTGTAGATATTCTTGAGATGATATACTCGAGCATTGGTTTGAGGAAATTGGTGGAAGCGATTCTCTCCGGAATATTGACATTCACTTTCAAACCATCAATTTTGCCCACTTTTAAGTCATCCAATTTGGACTTGTGTTGCATATTCTCCACGATCACGAACTCTATTAACATCTCTCTTATCTAAACAATTATTTAGAAAAATACTATTATTTTAGAAAAAGTTAACAATTATTTAGAAAAATACTATTATTTTAGAAAAAGTTAACAATTATTTAGAAAAATACTATTATTTTAGAAAAAGTTAACAATTATTTAGAAAAATACTATTATTTGAGAAAAATGTAACAAATTTACTGAACTGTTATGAAAGCACTTTCGGTGAAGTTATATCCAAACAGATTAAACACTTTCCATTCGTAGACACCCATCAGATCATTGAATGAGACAGTGATGTCGTATTTGTTTGTTTTGTCGTCGATTTTTGTACAAATGGGTTGACCCATCGGTTTGAAGTCCTTATTTATATTCAATTTTCCATTTTCTAAGATAATTCTCGTTGTATTTCCTCTCTTTATAGGTTTTAGTTTAAGTGTTTCCGGAATATATTTGTTCATTAATTCTGTAATCTAGAGATTAAAACATTATTTTATTTACTATAATAGCAAATAAATTATAAAATATTTATTGAAATGAAAGCAAACCTTATTAGCGAATAATTCTGACTCTAGAAAACAAGTCGTGGAATCGGTGTCAGGCGATGAAGTTGTAGGAGATTCTGTAGGTCTGACCGGCTTGTCATTTGTTGATTCAATAGGATCCTTATCCTTGTCAGAGACGAGTACAGAATTGACTGCATTCTCCTCCACCTCAACATCTAATCCCTTGACTGTTGTCGGATCAACCGTTTTATAAGTTACGGGTTTATCTGCCGACCCCTCGCTTTCGTGAAATTCATAATCACTGTTCGGATCGTCTTAACAGAGAATAAAATAATAATTTTTAATTAAATTCATAAATTATTTACTTCTTAATTAAATTTAAATACCGTTGATTTGAATAGTTTTAGCAAGAATCAAATACGGAAATATTATGCACAATAAGCTCAACAAATATATCTTGTTTAATACCATGATTCAATTAAACAATTCTTATATACTAATTGAAAATAAATTTGATAAATTAAAAAATTAATTATAAATAAATAAAACAAACAATTTTATAGCCTTTTTAATTTCAAACAAAAATTTAACACAATTAATATCGGATATATTCATTTCCTTCCCGTTTAATTAGTATATAAATACACTGAATAAAGTTTTCAAAAGTTTGCAATTATCAATAATGTACTGTAAAATACTAACTAAATTTACTGTATAAGGATTATCCAAAAGTGCAATTTATCTATTTCAAAAACTAGCATAGTAAATATTACCGGTACAAATATAATTTAACGCCTATTAGTCTAAACATCAACATAATAGACTCCTTTCCAGTACTTACCGTAAGATTTGGATATTCTCATAATAAAAAGGATATTACTAATTTGTTATAAATTAATGTAAACTCAATTTTAATGTATAAAAATTCAACATCAAATGAAATGTTGGGTTTATTTTAATGATTTTTTCACAATTTTATAGATTAAANATTTTAATGATTTTTTCACAATTTTATAGATTAAATGTTAACATTATTGCGAAATAAAGATTTATTTCTTAAAATAAAATACTCATAAAAATGTGATGTTTCTGTATATATCTGATGACAAAATAATTGAAACAAAAAAATCCAAAACATCGATACAATTAGCGAAACAAGTAAAGCAAGAAATGGAAAAATGTATCAAAAATGAACCGAAACTCTATTCATTGAAATAATAAATTATTTTTGTCTTAAATTAAGTCTAAATTTGTATTTTACACATGCGTTAGTGTTTTGTTTGTATATACCTTATTTTCAATATTAATTTAAGAAAGTTTTTAAATAATTAATTTAATAATTGCTTTAATAGTCACACAATTAAAACTATATCTCATGTGTTGTCGGCATTGGTCTCCGGTTCCACAAAAGTCTCTACACTTTCACTATTAGGTTCACTGCTAGTCATATTCGTCTCATTTATGGCAACATTTGTCTCAATATTATCGCTGAATACGGTCTCACTCTTGACATTCGGGGCACTAATCATCGGCTCATCAAATGTGCTCTCATTAGTGGCTAAATTGTTTTCATTGCTATTCCAGTCATCATTATCCTCATTAGAGGCACTAAAAGTGTTAACATTATTATTGTCTTCATTACTACCGAAGCCATCATTCAGTGGCTCATCGTTTGGTTGATTCAAGTCTCGGTCCTGTCTTTTGTCGAACTTATTGAACAATAATAATAACTTTGGGCTCAATATCAGTGATAACAACAACAATAACAACAAAGACAACATAACAGACAACAGCACAGATAGCAGCCTGAAGGTAGACCTCCCGGCTAGCGCCGCAGGTTTCGCTCGGCTCGAGTACTGGTCCCGTCCGGAGCCCCGGTTCTGATGATTGGAGTGTCGCTCAAAATTTTGATGATGTCTCATGTCTGGTCTGATGTCTGGTCTCATGTCTGGCCTCATGTCTGGCCTCATGTCTGGTCTCATGTTGTGATGCCGGGGATGGTATGGCCGTTGGGGTCTCTCGAATGGGAACCGTTCGTTCATTGTGTGCGGCATTTGTAACAGCGCTGAATGGCCTGTCCATCAGACAGACACTCAATTAAACATAAATTCGCAAAACACACCAAATTCTAAGCAATACCTGTGCCGCCCATTACCACTCCTTACCCTCCAGAGTAGTAAACCAAGGAAAGGTAGCGGGCATTGAGCATTTGTCTCCCGCGCTTCCCCAGCAGTAACCCCACCCCTACTCTAGACAGGTTTAGCCCAGAAAGGTATAATCGTCTGAAGCGATCGCGCGGCGGAAAGTTGCGGTCCAATCGATCCATTGGTCTGTTGTCCGGATGTAATCGCGGCGGAAGCTCCTCATGAGATATGGCTAATGGCGGAAGTGTTGCGATCAATGGCGCCCTGTCTTCGGGCTTCGACATCGAGCCGCGAATCATGTCTTCGGGCCTCAGCGATGAGATGATCGAATCCGTGGTCGAAGTGGGCGCCGAAGACATCGATAAGAGTGGCGGACGTTGTGGGCTGACTGTAATCAATGACAACATAATGAAAACCTTTCGTAAAAACAAAACTACCGGTCATTGAGTCAGACCTTGCATTCGATTCGGATGAATAGGCGGCGGCGGACCCGACAGCCACGGCATACGAGCGCCGGGCGGTTGAGCGCCCAGAATGGTTGGTGAGGAATGGGAGGTCTCATCATTTGGTTCCTTTCCATCGCCCGTAACTCGTAAACAGAGGGCGCGAAGGGGTCGTCATTGGGGTGGGGATGAGATCTGTCCAAATCGGGTCTTTCCATATTAGATCTGAAGCGATCGCGCGGCGGAAAGTTCCGGTCCAATCGATCCATTGGTCTGTTGTCCGGATGTAATCGCGGCGGAAGCTCCTCATGAGATATGGCTAATGGCGGAAGTGTTGCGATCAATGGGGCCCTGTCTTCGGGCTTCGACATCGAGCCGCGAATCATGTCTTCGGGCCTCAGCGATGAGATGATCGAATCGGTGGTCGAAGTGGGCGCCGAAGACATCGATAAGAGTGGCGGACGTTGTGGGCTGACTGTAAGCAATGACAACATAATCAAAACCTTTCGTAAAAACAAAACTACCGGTCATTGAGTCAGACCTTGCATTCGATTCGGATGAATAGGCGGCGGCGGACCCGACAGCCACGGCATACGAGCGCCGGGCGGTTGAGCGCCCAGAATGGGTGGCATTGGAGGCATTCCAAGCGGCGTCTGGAACGGAGGCATTGGCGGCGGGAATAACGGAGCGTTGGATGCGTTCAGCAAACCCGACGCCGAATCGTTATGTTTGTCATTCGACTGACTGTTATCTGTGTTCATAATAACTTCAGTGATGTCCGTCTTATTTGTGATGTCGTCGGTATTGAGGAGCGACGGTAATGGCGGTGGGGCCGGCATTTGGGGGAAAGTAGTAGTTGTGGCCGTTGTGAGCATCGATGGCTCCGTGGACTGGAGTGACATGACTGGCGTCTGACTCGTTATGTTCATTAAATTAGGAGGTATTACAAGACCCGTAACGCCAAATGAATTGGGTTGCAGTTGAACCATAGGCATCGGCATCATAGCCGCCGCTCTGGCCATCATTTGAGCCGCTTCTCGCTCCTGATCCTCCCGTTCCTTGTTTTTTCTCTTTCGCATTTCTATTGTCAATCAAATTTAAATGATTCATAAAACAAACTTCAAGTACAGGTGCCAACACAGACCTTGAAGTTTCTCGGGAACGGTATCGTCATCAACAGTTCCGCCCTCTTCAAGCAAATCCAGATCTACTTCGTCGGCGAGTTTCGTGTACGGGATATAACTCGCGCCCTCTTCTGCTTCCCAGTAGTCCTTATACTCCTTGCCTTTCATACCCTTCCCGGGCGCCCACGCCATCTAAATAGTGGGACAGGTAGTCAAGCAATTTAGTAAGGGTTGGTTTATGTTTAGAAATTAATTCAAAAGTAACGCATACTTTAATAACACTTCCGTGAAGTTTAACATTTCGTAAATTGTTGAGTGCTTTGGCCGCGTCCTGACGTCTATTCATACAAACATAAGCACAGCCTCGCGATGGGATCAACTGATGGCAGAGACAAACAAATGGTTAACTTTGAGCTCTGACCCGTAACGCCAAATGAATTGGGTTGCAGTTGAACCATAGGCATCGGCATCATAGCCGCCGCTCTGGCCATCATTTGAGCCGCTTCTCGCTCCTGATCCTCCCGTTCCTTGTTTTTTCTCTTTCGGATTTCTATTGTCAATCAAATTTAAATGATTAATTAAACAAACTTCAAGTACAGGTGCCAACACAGACCCTGAAGTTTCTCGGGAACGGTATCGTCATCAACAGTTCCGCCCTCTTCAAGCAAATCCAGATCTACTTCGTCGGCGAGTTTGGTGTACGGGATATAACTCGCGCCTTCTTCTGCTTCCCAGTAGTCCTTATACTCCTTGCCTTTCATACCCTTCCCGGGCGCCCACGCCATCTAAATAGTGGACAGGTAGTCAAGCAATTTAGTAAGGGTTGGTTTATGTTTGGAAATTAATTCAAAAGTAACGCATACTTTAATAACACTTCCGTGGAGTTTAACATTTCGTAAATTGTTGAGTGCTTTGGCCGCGTCCTGACGTCTATTCATACAAACATAAGCACAGCCTCGCGATGGGATCAACTGATGGCAGAGACAAACAAATGGTTAACTTTGAGCTC